AGCCATTATCGCATACCAGTTTCCTCGGGGCTCCGAAGTGGCCGATGATCCGTTCGCGGAAAGCTCGTATCAAGGTCGCCGTACTTGCTCTGCGTAGGGGTATTAACTCGACCCATTTGGTGAATATGTCGAAGAAGACGAGGAGCATGGTATTCCCCTCTTTGGAGCGGGGCAAAGGTCCGACAAAATCCGCACACAGAACTCCAAAGGGTTCGCTGACCTGTCTCGTTAGCATCTTTCCGGCCTGTTGTCGCTGTTCTGACTTGTATTTCTGGCACGGGATACATTGTCGCACGTGTCGTCGCACGTCGCGGAACATCCCCGGCCAGTAGTACTTCTGCGAGATCCTGATGATGGTTTTCCTAATGCCAAGATGTCCGGCGGTGGGGGCATCATGGCATTCATGTAGGATTCGATCCCGATGTTCGGCTGCTACGCACAGCTTCCAGGGCACGTAGTCCTGGTCGTCTGGACGGTGGCCGAGATGGCGATATAGTTCTCCGTTTTCAATGATGAAGTCGGGGAACTTCTGGGGGTCGTCCCGAACGTCCTTCATCTTTCTTTGCAGCCATTTGCACTGGTGCTCGCCGTCCGTGAGTCTCTGTAAGTGCTCTAGTGGTTGCCGGGAGAGAGCATCGGCTACCACGTTATACTTCCCGCGCCGGTAATGTACATCGTACTGATATTGCTGGAGCTCTAAGGCCCATCTGGCAATCCTTCCGGTGGGGTTTTCGATCTGGTCCAGCCATTTCAGGGCCAGGTGGTCGGTGATTACGTCGAACCTGTAGCCTTCGAGGTAGCATCGCAATTTCCGTATTCCCCAGACGATGGCCAAACATTCCTTTTCCGTGGGCGAATAGTTCAACTCCGCGGCATCGAGTTTGCGGCTGACGTAGGCAATGACTCGCTCCTGGCCGTCGATTTCCTGGGTTAGCACTCCCCCGAGTCCGTAGTTACTGGCGTCAGTTTGGAGCGTCATCTTGACGGAGAAATCTGGGCACGCCAGCACAGGTGCGTCTGTCAGCAAACCTTTCAGGAGATCGAATGCATTCTGCTGCTCCGATTCCCACTTCCACCGTTGGTTTTTCCTTAGCAGGTTCGTCATGGGTTGGACTACCGAGGCAAAGTTGGGCACGAATCGTCGGTACCATGAGGCCATCCCGAGACATCTCCTTAGTTCCCGTAAACTACTAGGAGGGCTCAGGTTTCGCACGGCGGCTACCTTGTCCGGGTCGGTGTGGATACCCTGGTCACTGATCACATGTCCAAGGTAGGCCAGTTTTCTCTTGAAGAAGGAGCACTTTTCCTGGTTGATGCGCAGGTTAGCTCTCCTCAATCGTTCGAAAACTTTGCGCAGGTTATCCATGTGTTCCCCTAGGCTGGCCCCAATGACAATAATGTCATCGAGGTAGGCGAACGCGTATGGGTCGAGATCGGGTCCGATCACGCTATCTAGGGCTCGCTGAAAAGTTGCCGGGGCCGAATGCAGCCCGAAAGGCATGACGCGCCATTGGAATAGGCCGCGTCCGGGTACCGTAAAGGCGGTACATGCCCGGCTATCTTTGGCCACTGGTATCTGCCAGTACCCGTTGCGCAGATCCAGGGTCGAAATGTATCTCGCATTTCTCAGTCGTTCTAAGATGTGGTTAATGCGCGGCAACGGGTACGCGTCCGGAATCGATTTCGCGTTTAGTTGCCGGTAGTCCACGCACATGCGCCACTGTCCGGTTTTCTTCCGGACCAAGACCAACGGAGCACTGTGCGGACTACGCGACGGTTCGATACATTCCTGCTCCAGCAATGCGTCTACTTGCTCGTCTATGATCCGTTGCATGGCAGGGTTCTTCGGAAAATAGCGTTGTTTAATCGGCCGGTCGTCCCTCATGGTGATCCGGTGTTCCGCTATGTTTGCCACCCCCGCCATTCCTTCAAATCGCGCTAGCTGTTCGCTAAGAAACACTTGGACCTGCGGATTAGTCTCGCAGCCGCGTTCCTTGCCCTCCTGATTGGGTACCTGATTCCCCTGGGACACAGTGCCCGTATCGGATGTCCCTCGTGGATTCTCGGCGTGTTCCTCCCGGCGTTTCCTGTCGTGGTCCTCGGTTGCCATGCTGGTGTCTCCTCCTGTGGGGCTAGTCGCGTCCTCTTCCTTGCATGCTGTGGCGTAATGCGTTTCCTGTACTCTATGCTGCCCTTCGGGCGCATCCCTGTCATGCTGTGACCCTGTCTCGTGGTTGGCTATGCCTAGCCGAGGTTCCGTTCGAAAAGGGTTCCTTTTCCGGGCTATGGCGGAGTCAGCCAAGGGCTCCAGGTGGAAGGGGTTCTCCACGGCAGGCGCCGGTCGTACACGTTCCTGTTGCTTGGGAGCTGTAGTGACTGTATCCCTATGGGGTTTTCCCACCAACCGTCGTGGGGCTGCCACGGGGATTTCCTGGAGCTGCGTTGTATCAGGAGAAGCTGCCGCGCACACCGCGTTCGGTGCGCCGCTTCTCGCTAGGGGCTCCTGCGTGTCCGTTGATGGATGTCCGTTGGCTGTGCCGGGCGTAGCTTCGGGGCTGGTTGGTCCTCGCGATCGGAGTCGAGGTGGTGGTTCTGATGGATTGCCTTGATCGTCAGGCCGTGGTTCCTTGTATCTACTCGCCTGACCTTCTCTGGGTCTTTGTCGGGACAGCGTGAGGCTTGCTGTACCGCATCGGAGGGTAGTGCCGATAGAAGCGAGGAAATCCATCCCTAGGATTAAAGGTTCCAGCATGGCGGGCATTACTAGAAGGGGAACCTGAATTGTCTTCCGGGCGAGCGTCACGTCTGCAAGGAGTAGCCTTGTTACTTCTACTCGAGACGTGTCAGCGAGATTAATCTGGGTGCGAATCTCCCTAAACTGGTGTGGCTGACCGACTACGTCGGCGATGTCCTGGCTAACGAAACTCCTCGACGCCCCGGTGTCGATGGTGGCTAACCGTACGTGTCCTCCAAGGTCGACTTCCGCGGCGATCCTTCCTCTCTCTACCCTAAGCGGTGCGGTTACTGTTGGTTCTCCGGAGGATTGGGTCCCGACGAATTCCGCCGGTCGAGGGGACCCATCCCGTTTCCCGGTTGTTGGCGCCGACAGCATTCGACTGTGCGGACGTCCCGTCGTCCGCAGTCCCAACAGAAGTACTGTCGAGGATTCCGGCAGTCGCGGCTGAAGTGTCCCGGTGCTCCGCAATTTCGGCAAGCATCCCGCACATCGATTCGTCGTTCGGGTGCGGTCACCCGGTTAACCCTAGCTGGCGGGGCAGTTCTGGGCTCTGGAGATGTACGGGGTGGGCTCCGTAGGGGGGCTCTCTCAGTGAACGTAGGTTGGGTCTGACCTTGTGAAGGGGAGCGGTACGCTGTTGGATTTCTGGTGGCGGGGTCATAGTTGTTCCTCATGAGGCTCCGCTTCTGAACGGCCTCGAATTCGGTGGCCAATTGGGCTAATTCCCTAATGGTCCGTACCTCGCTACGTCGGATATACATCTGGTATTCCGGCGCGACATTTTCGTAAAGCCTATCTAGCTCTTGGCCTTCGTTGTAGCCCGCATGGCGCATAAGGACTCGGAGATCTAGCATAAAATCTTTAAATGTTTCCCCTTCCAACTGCTCACGACTCCGAATCTGGTCGTCCAAGCGCTGGAGGTATCGGGGTGGGAGGAAAAACTCGAGGAATTCACGCCGAAATGTTTTCCAGTCCGCCCCTTGGAGGCGGCTTGTTTGGAACCATTTGTCTGCCCTGCTCGTCAGCAGCTCTGCCATGGCTCGCGGAAGGAGTCCTAGGTCTATCCCGTAGGATAAGGCCCGACTTTCGACCTGCTCGATGAAGGCTAAGGGGTCTGAATATCCGTCAAATTGGAGGCCCCATTTACGAATTCGTTCGGGGACGCAAACAACCTCGCGGCGATTCCGGTCATGGCTCGGCTCCGTGAAAGTTTCTTGATTACTGCCGACCGGAGAGGCGACAGTAACCGTGAGGCTAGGGGTAATTCGAGCTCGGTCTGCGGGGGAGACTCCGGGGATTGCGCCGACGCTTATGTTCGGGGCGGGGCCGCTGGGGCCGGTTTTGTCTTCCCCCAAAGGTGCGGGGCTCGGAGCACGTGATGAGTATTGTCTTCCTAGGTCGGCTAGTCGAGCCCATACCTCTTGGGTTTGTTCCGAGTCTCTAACTAGGGTGACAAAGTTTCGCCGCAAGTCGTCGACGAGCCCCTCGGCGGAGAACCCGAATTCGTCAGCAAAGGCTAGTAATTCGGCCTTCAAGCGGGAATAAATCCACCGCGAGGGAACCCCGGGATTGTGAAATAAGTGTGGAACGGACTCACCGGAAATTTTCTGGTCGGGGTCCATGTTTGCAGCGAGTCTTTGGTGCATTGTCTTGGAAAGATGTCTTCGCTTGTTGGAGTCTTTACGGGGCTTCTTGGGCCATACGTTTGTATTTTCACAGACACTCGATCGCGTGGACTATGCGGGCTCGCGAGTAAGCTCGTGGGCTTGATACCGGGCGCGTTCACTAGTTCGTCAAGGTTATTCTCCCCGGTCGGGACACTTTCGCGGAAACCGTTAGACTACGTCACTCACTCGGGGCCTACGCACTCCCCATACAGGTGGTAGTTTTCCTGGTCTTTCTCCCTATCAGGTCCCTGCTCGGGCGCCACTTGTAACGCAGTTCTCTGGCCGGGGTAGAATCTCAATCGGGGCCAAGGAACCTATACAAGAAATTTATATAGAAGGGTGGGACCTGTAGTAGGAATTTGTAGAGGGCGCCTTACAGCCTTCCCATACAAATTCCTACTACAGGTCCCACCCTTCTATATAAATTTCTTGTATAGGTTCCTTGGCCCCGATTGAGATTCTACCCCGGCCAGAGAACTGAGTTACAATTTTAATTATGAACGGTTATGTAAGCCGAGGCAAAAGCTGAAATCTGATAAGGATAAGCTATAAATACACTTAGAAGGTTAAAACATTAACTCAATACCAAAATGAATCTGAGACTGAACGCTCTCCTATTTTTGTTTTATTACTTTGGCGCAAGGTGATCCTTTTATAGAACAGAGGAATAAAATAGAGTCTGCATCATTTTAACAATGTAAATGTTTTAGATACGTTACCAGCTGTTTATTTTACTAAGAAGAAAATGGTGCAAAACCAACTGATAACTAGCCACCTTTTTCCTTCGCTGAAAAATCAAGGAAGATTTATTGATTTCCTTTAGTATTGGGTTTGCTTAAAGGAAGTGGAACCATGGATTGGTTTACTTTACACACTTTTTACCTTAACAAATCAAGCATTTTTAAATTGCAACTCTTATTAAGTTATTTATATTTTAATTATTAACGCTTATACAGCCGAGGCAGAAGCAGAAATAACGACAACGATAATCTATAAATACATTTAGAAGGTTAAAACATTAACTCAGTACCAAAATGAATCTGAGACTGAACGCTCTTCTGTTTTTGATTTGCGGCTTTGGCGCAAGGTGGTCCTTTTCTAGAACAGCGGAATCAAAATAGAGCCTGCATCATTTTAACAATGGAAATATATTGGATGTGTAATAATCTTATTAAGTACTAAATAAGCTACATTGTCTTAATTTTAATTGGTATATTATTAAAATATATATAATCGTAGATACTACATGCTAAATTGAGGATCACCGTTCCCTAAGACAAAGGTGTATGCGACTATGGGATTTAAGGGTTAGAATCTCTAATAGAACTGGATCATATGAGTGAAGGCCTGCTTCTTGAGTGAGCTTTTCTCCAGGGGAGATCCCGAGGTAGGTGTTTAGTCGACCATCCTTGGAGACCTTGGAGAAATTTAACTTCAAGGACTCCCTGAATTTCAACTTGGACACGTATTAAAGTCGACAGCTTAATCCTCAAAGAAAATTAATTTAAATGGCTTCATTTAATTATTTCAATTAACATGGCTGGAATTATTACTGCAAATTAAATTAAATCGGCGCTTTGGGAGTACGTATAATTATTGAGTGCGAAATTCCGAATTTTAAATTTACCTTCTGCTTCACCTTTATTCTAATTGTTTAAAATATATCATAGTCGACTGTTCATACCTCAAAGAAAATAAACTTAAATGGTTTTATTACAAAAAAAAAATTAACTTGTCTTAAAAATATCTACAAATGTATTTTGAATCACTGCTTAGGTAGTAGGAAAAATTTAACATTTTACTTTTTTAAATACGTTAATTTTAATATGGAAAAAATTCTGCGATATAAACTGGTAACTGTCAACCTCTTTTCTTCTCGAAAAAAAATTTTAAATACGAAAACCAGCTTTTCATTTTACTAAGAAGAAAATGGTGCAAAACCAACCTTTTTCCTTCGCGGAAAAATCAAGGATGATTTATTGATTTCCTTTAGTATTGGGTTTGCTTAAAGGAAGTGGAACCACGGATTGGTTTACTTTACACGCTTTTTACCTTAACAAATCAGGCATTTTTAAATTCCAACTCTCATTAAGGTATTTATATTTTAATTATAAACGCTTATTCAGCAGAGGCAAAAGCAGAAATCTGATAACAATAAGCTATAAATACCATTAGAAGGTTAAAACATTAACTCAATACCAAAATGAATCTGAGACTGAACGCCCTCCTATTTTTGGTTTGCACCTTTGGCGCAAGATGGTCCTTTTCTAGAACAGCGGAAAAAAAATAGAGTCTGCATTCAATGGAAATATATTGGATATGTAATAAACTTATTAATTACTAAATAAGCTGCATTGTCTTAATTTGTTTATTAAAGGTGTCGATTTGGGCGCTTAGTTCCCCACGACTGGGAAAAAATTGTAACCATATTACCAGAACAAAGGCCCTTTCTTGGCCTGTAATTGCTATTGAAATGTCTGGATAGAAACAAAAAATCAATTACCTGATAAAACTGAAACACTTCAATAAGTCATAATTAGTTAGATATACAGATAATTCATAAGGCTTTGGTTAATAATTGAATCGCTGGTAAGCAAACATTTATTTTTGGGATAAGACATATACCTATTAAAACATATATAATCGTAGATACTATATGCAAATTGAGGATCCCCGTTCTCTGAGACGAAGGTGGAGGCCATTATCGGATTTAAGGGTTAGAACCGCCGATAGAACCGGATCATATTTGTGACGTCCTGCTTCTCGTTTGAGCTTTTCTTCAGGGGCTAGCCCAAGGTAGGTGTTTAGTCGACCATCCGTGGAGACCAAATCATCGACTGCTGGAAGGACCTCAAAGGATCGCACCATCTTTGATATGACAGTCTTCAGTTCTAGAAGGGCAAACTTTTGGCCGATGCAGTTCCGGGGTCCAGCACTGAAAGGCAAATACTCAAAGGGACCGGGTTTTTCCTCCTCAAAACGCTCTGGTCGGAAATGGTGGGGGTCCTTGAAGACGCGATCGTTGTAGCCCAGCAGGATGAGTGCCAGATTAAGGGTGGTGCCCTTGGGCACAAAGCTGCCATCTAAGCAGAGGAACATTTAATAGTTTTATTAATTTTATATAACCAAGACTTGCTTACTGATATTGTAGTCCTTATCACAATAGCGACCAATAAAAGGAACACTAGGATAAACGCGCTGTACCTCCTTGATAAACATATCTAGATATTTCATTTGGGAAATCTCCTGAAAACTGGCATTTCTGTTCATGTCATCACCCATAATTTCGCACTGCTCCTGATACAGTTTCAGCTGGAATTTAAGTAGTACATAGGTTTAAATACATTTTGTAAAAGGTTCTTGAAAATACCTGAACATCGGGATGTCTCGAGAGTAGATACCCCGCGAAGGACACTCCCGAGGTGGTCGTGTCGTGGCCTTCGAACATGAAGGTGGACACTTCCTCGTAGATCTCTTGCCGTGTGAGTGGACGACCATCGATGGTGGAGGATAGTAGCGTGTCCAAAAAAGCCATCTTCTTTCGGGGCAGGGAAGGATCTTGCTCCTGCTGAGAACTTCCATTCTGCAGAGCCTCCACGCGCTTTTCTATGATGTCATAGGTGAAGTCCTGCAGCGTCTTAAGTGTTCGCTGATAAGCCGGAAATTCGGGGGTCAGACTAAAGACCCTATTGGAGCGCTTAAACGGATGGAATGCCCGCATGTTGATGTTGTAGCACATGCTAAAAGTAAATTGTAAGTGTTGAATCTGTAGTTAAAAGGACTATTTAAGGACTCACTCTCTAAAGGCCTGCACAATAGAGGAGTCGCGCTGCTCCATGGCATTGATGGGCACTCCCATCGCCGTGTCACAGATCACATCCAAGGTGAGGTAATTGGCGTGTTCCTGAAAATCAATGATACTATCTCCGGCACTCGCCTTCTTCAGCTGTTCCACGAACTTGCTGGAGTTCTCGTTCATCACCTCGTGGAAGTCCTGCAGGATGTTGAAGTGGAAGGAGGGCGTGATCATCTTGCGGTGCTTGTGCCATTTGATGCCATGACTCGTTAGAAGGCCAAAACCCAGCCATGGATGCAAAAGTGTGTAGATGGTGGACTTCTGTATAAGCTGCTGACTGTTCAGAATGTACTGAGGAAAATAAACATACATTTGAAGCGGTCTTAATTGAATTTAATATATAAAAGCTATTTGGATATGGTTTCTTAAGTACTAATGTGTAGTATACGAGTACAAATATTAATTAATATTTGGTTAGTAGCTTTTATAATAACTTTATCTATGATATACCTCCAGTTGCTTAGGATTGGTCACCACAATGTGAGAGCTGTAGCCAGTCCAGAAAAGGAAGTTGTCCTTGCCGTAGTCATGCCACCACTCGAAGAAAGTGGCCAGTATCTCTGTGGAACGAAAACACGATCGAGATTAGGTCAGTTCAATCATTGCCGCGAATTTCACCATGCCAAATGGAACTTCATCGACTGATAACACCCATTGAATCTTTATCAGTGCCCAGTCTAGACTGCCAGACGAGCCCCCATTGCAAGAGGTTTTTGGAACTGACCTGCCGGATTTTTGCCGATGCGATGGGCGTTGCCCAGAACAGGGATCGGAGTGGGTCCATTGAATTCCTTGAGCAGCCGGCGACGATGCAAAGCCCCAAGTTCAAAGTACACCAGCACGAGCAGTGGCAGCACCACCAGAGCCAGCACAGCGAACCACATTTTCAACCACTGCGATGGGGAAACCTGTTCGGGTAGTAAGCACTAAATACATGAACCGATCGCGGTTGAATCAGATGGAGGAATCGCTTGCGCCGCTTGCTTTTATAGCCATGCCAGGTTATTCTGCTCGCTCCGGATTGGTCCACCGACCGATTAGACCAGATAACTCTCCCGACTCTTCCTATATATGCAGTGCAATCACTTTTTGCATTACCTCAGAGCTGAAATCTCTGGTAGAATCAGTCTAGGCGGGTTCAAAGTCCGTAGTTCTCCTCTATTTTTATCTGGTTGCACCAAACATGAGATCGTAATCACAGGGGCGATGAGTGGCCAAAAATCCCATAAGCCGATTGTAACCTTTGAACGCTTTCCAAGTAACACGTCTGCACTAAAAAAGTATAGTACATATGTATAAAGATAGAAAAATAAAGTATAAGAATAATAAATAGTATAATAATAAAAATAATAATATTATTTATTAAAATCAAGTCATTTTCACTTTTTCTAACTCAGATTTAGTAATATACACAAGCATTTTACGTCTAAAAGAATAATAATAATTTTTTATATTGAAATCAAAGCTTTTTAAATTTTTCTAACTCAGATATGATGCATTTGATACCTACTAATATTTTTAAGTATTTTAAATTTTAAAAATTATTAATTCTTATTTTGTTAACTTTTGTTGGGACTTTTGTTTCATTTTGTTTTAAAAATTATAAAACACATACTTTACAAAAATTAATTAATTAATTTATTCGAGGCCAGAACTTTTTTTAATTACCTATGGAACGAATCAAAATTAAGTAGGGGCCTAAAATCGTTAAAAATATTTAATTTATGTATTTTGTCTCTTAAGTTCAAAATTTTAAATTATTCTGATTTGAAAATGTCTATGGTATAATATTATTAACAGTCCCTTGTTTTGTAGATGACTTTTACAAGAAAAAACATTCTTTGGAGAAATCTAAATATTTTTTAAATGTAAATAAATATTAAAAGTAATGAAGGAAAATAAAAATGGTCCAAATACTTCAAAGCTACGAATCTTATTTTCGTTTTTTGTAAAACTAATCTACTGCCCTTAGTTAGAGTATGTCAAAATGGACAATGCCGAACTACACCTTCAGGTTTTGGCTTGTGTTTTTTCTTGTTTTTTTTGCGTCTGGCCCAGTGGACTTTGTACTTGTTTATCTATCAGACGAACGGCAGACAGAATGTATTAGTAAGCTCGTATCAGCGAGGGGCTCGCCCTGTACTAAATGTTCCGTCAAATGCCAGGCCCCTAAAAATGATCATTAGCAATTACTTATTTTTTTGACGTACTGGTAGTGAAACATTGCAGATCTGAACTTGACAGGCCGCAAAAGAGAGATACGACCTAACAAATAGTAAAAGTCAGTAGCTGCCAACAAAAGAATTATAACTCTTATATACATAACAATGAAACTGCCAGCCGGTTTTCCTGGGCATCTGTTTTTGGGGGAGAAAGCTTAATAAAGCATATAATATGAGAATTAATCAAAGACCACGCATTGACTTTTCGATTGTGTGGGAGAGGTGAACCCGTGACACGAGTCCTTAGAGAAAAACCATAGAAAAATGTTCCTTGGGAGTTGGACCCATGACAGTCGGAAAAATTACACCCAAACGGCCCACACAGAAGCATTTGCCATTTCACGATTACATCTCCCTGGGTCGGCAATAAATCAAATTGGCAAACGAAAAGAAAAACAGAGAAAAGTTTTGCACACTGTGAATGGCTTTTATGGCATTTGTTTGGGGCCTGTAATTCGCTTGACATCTCAATGCTGCTTCTGCTACAGCAACTGCTCCTGCTGCCGCTGCTTAATGCTTAATGCCCAAACTTATAACGGGCGAAAATTTTAATGAATGACGTCGTCGTCATCAGCAGCTGAAGCGCAGAGTGGCAAGGACGCCGACCCACCCACCCCCCGCTCAAGGACATGTTTGGGCGAGCAGCGGGCAAACAATTTCAATGAACTTTGATAAATCGCTGCGAGGCGAAGGACGCGTCCGTAAAGTCCATATAATACACAGCCGGGCATTCTGCTTGAGTGGGCTTCCTATTTCCGGTTCCCATTTGGTCGCTATATTTGTGCTCAGTGATTATGTAAATTGTTCTGCCCATTTGTAGCAGCTTCCTCTCCCGATGGTTTTATGTTTATTTTTATTCATCGATTGCATCTATTAAAAGAATATTCCGCACAATCCCAGTCGGCTTAGGGTCTCTTCTAAAATGGAGAGCCCTAAGCGGAGAGCGATTAGAAATCTCGGGTTGGCCTGAAAGTATGCCATCAGTTTTTCCCCCCACAAATATTAGCCGAGTAAAGCAAACTCTCATCCGGAGAGCCATTTCAGTTAATTATTTTTGGGCTTATCAAGTGGGGATCACACATGTCGTATGCGCAATTAGCAGGCAGGGAATGAAATCGCTGTCTTTAAACGAACAGCAATTCCCCAAACTGGCTGTCTCATTATCCCACATCTCCCGTTGTCGGTTGTTGTTATTGCCGTTGTCTTGTTTAATGCATTTTTGCCTTCATGCGGCGGTGAGGAAGTAAATATTGCGCATACGTCACGTTGTGAGCACGCAATGCTGCATACCATGTTTGGCACGTTCAGGGGCAAAGAGAAATGGTTGGATATAAAGAGCGATGGCTACAGTGGAATCTTATTTGGTTACATTTTGTTGGGACTTTTATTTTTAAAATGTGTAGGTAAATGTGTAGATAAAGAAAGTGTTAAATAGTAAAAATACATTGCCTTATGCATACTTAACAAAAATTAAATTAAAATAGTGCACTAATTAAAAGTATAAAAAGTACTTAATAATTATAGCTCACTGATCGTAAGGCAAAACATATATTAATCAGTTAAAATTAACTATTTATGTAATTGTTAAATATTTAAATATTTATATCAATATTTTACATATATGTTAATAAATATTGCTCAGTTAAGGAATATGAATAAATCTTTCTAACCTTTTGCTTTTGGAACTTCAAAGAATGTGCAATCAGCTTAGATAACATATAGTATATTCGATTTAAGCATCTGCAACCTTCCACCGTACTTGGCCAAGTAAAAGAAACCGCATTTACTGGCCACTTAAAAGAGAGAACTCCCATGTGGCCAGCCCATCCCCGCCCCTTTTTGGGATTCGGAAAAACTATGCAAAAGGCTGAGCAGCCCCGCGACCCCTTATCGGACCATAAAAAGCTGTATAGAATGTTGCAATCAGTTAATTTAAGTGCAGGCCAAGCCAACACGAACAATCAGAATGGGAAGCAGAAAAAATAAGAAAAATGGAAATTTCAATGCGAAAACATACAAACGTGTCGGTGTGCGTGTGTATGTCTAAACAAACACGCACAGTGAGCCACGCACAGTGGGTCAAGTTCCATTTCGAGTGGATTCATCCCCAAAACGGTATGAATTCGCATTGGACTGGGGCCGAGGAAAAGTTAGGGGAAAAGTTTAGGGGGACGGGGATCGGTGAGGATGGGAAATTTTCCTCGACCCGAGGCACACACTCACATACACACACACACACACACAAGCGCACAGCAAAGCACAAGTGGCTACTAATGCAAATAATTTACAAGTAGCAAATGTGGGCGGCAAACGCCAGCAGCAGATTCAGCAGCAGCCAACGTCAGCAGAGACACAGAAAGGACAAAACAAAAATGGGAAAAGCGAAAAAAAATAAAGGAAAGCACACACAAAATAAACGACAGACGACGAGGCAAAATGTCGTCAACAAAAAGAAATATAACAAGAAGGGAAGGCTAGCTTGGAGGACCAAGGCTTAGAATACCCTCAGCAGTATTTTATTGGTGAGACAGCTAGAAGTCTTCTACTATAGTAAACCTTTCCAATTTGTATATCCTTAAATTGTGTTTCTAATTGTTGGAAAATGGAATGAAAGGGTATTTCATTTTTGATTTTAAAATGGAATATTCCTTTCATTGGCTTTTAAAAACAGTGCTCTGATTATAAAAACAACATTTGTTTATGATCTTATATCAAATTATTAAAGCAATCATAATTGTCATTCATTTTTTTTGCCTATCTTTAAAGAGGGTTATTCATCATTAATAACATATACCTGTCTTGCACATCAATATATTTTGTTTTCTACTCTTAGCATATTAATTAATAATTTCATCTTTTAAGCTTTAAATTTAATTTGTATGATTTATAAGACGAAGATACCCAAAAGATATGAAAAGGATTTATCGCGAAAATGCTCACTAATCTTCATTAATAAAAACCAGAGCAATATATGTTTGGGGTATTAACTTTCTATCTGCAAACTTCCATTTTTGATTAAGTATAAAAGGATTTGTGGCACATTCGAATTTAATTTATAAATAATTTTATTAAGGATCGTATATGAATCTTTCATGGCGCTATAAACTGGTCTATGCAATAGAAATACCCTGCATAAGGGTATAACGCAATAGTAACAAAAGGCAAAGAACAGAGGAGGGAGGAAAAGAGGAGGAACTTGGGGGCAAAAAGGAGAGGAAGGAAGGGCAAAGCTGGGGGCACCGAGGCGCTGACGAGGGGAGAGAGGGGTGAGCGGAAGGGAGGGGCGAGTAAAAAGGACATTATGCGTCTTTTCACATTTGAGAAAAGGACAAATTTGTAAGGACAAGTGTAAGTGAAGGAAACCGAAACAAACACACAAGCGCACGCACACTCGCAAATACCGATACTCACACATACAAACACACACAAACAGCGACAACGAATGCCGCAAATGTTTGTGGCCCCGCCCACTCCGCCCCCTTTTTGAGGCTGTTGAGAGAAAATCAATGCCAGACCATGAATCAAGATCAGGTTTTCAGAACGAATTAGGATGTCTTTTTGGCAGCACCACTAAATTGAAAATGATATTTGTTGCAGTCATATTCTTTTGCATCGATTTCGGTTTTGCATTGAACATTTGGTATCAAAGAAATTCCGTGGAACCAATGGGTATCATAAAAGTAAAACAGTTTCTGGGAAAAATGAAATGAAAGTACTTG